CACTGAGATCACATGTGTGCTGCCCTGTTAGCCTCCCATGGGGCCGCCTCCACTGAGATCACACGTGTGCTCCCGTGTTAGCCTCCCACGGGCCCACCTCCACTGAGATCACACGTGTGCTGCCGTGTTAGCCTCCCACGGGGCCCGCCTCCACTGAGATCACCCGTGTACTGCCGTGTTAGCCTCCCACGGGGCCCGCCTCTCAGTCCCAGCCCAGAGCCTGGTGAGAGCTGGCAGTGGAGGTAGAAATAAACAGAAGTCACCTCAGTGGAAATGGAAGACAGAGTCGTTCCAAGTTTTTCTATTCCTTGCATGATGCCTAAAGTAATGGTATTGCCTTAGAGGAAACATCAAATGGAGGCCTGATTCCTGGTGTTGACCTGCCAGGCACTCCCAGGCTCAGAGCTGCATGAGAGGCAATTCTGTGTCCTGGGCTGGGTGCTGTTGCTGTCAGGAGGGGCCTTGAGGTTAATGAAGAGGATGCAGGTTCCGTGAGTTCCAGGGGTATCCACGGCCAGGACAGCTGAAGCCAGGACTAGGACCCAGGTCTGCCCAGTGCCTGGAGATAATTCTCAACTACCTACAAGGGGTCTCCTATACACAGAAATGCTCAACAGCCTCCACCAAGCAAAAGCCGCTTCTAGATTTTTCCCGGGTTCACACCTGTGTATCATTTAAGGAAAGCAGGCCTGTGCCTCCTGTGTGGTGTGTAGCCTGAGGAACACAGCAGCTACTTTTATTGACCCATAGTTTCAGAATTCCAACCAATATGTTTATAAACACATGCCAGCTAAATGCAGACGGCTTGGTGTTTCAAATAAATATTAAGGTCAGGTTGCACTCAGGAAAGCATTTCCAGTGGGCTGGCAGCACATTTAAGACAAAGCTGGGCCTCCATGTCATAAAGAATCAGCCTGATTGGAAAGAGGAAAGCCTCACTCTCATTGGAAAGAATTTTTCCTTCTTTGCTACAGCATATAAAAATACCTCATCTCTATAAATTTTCATTATAAAATCAGCCTGCCTGCTGAGTGCTGCGGAGTGCCGGGCACTGTGCTAGTGGGCTGGACACACGCCGTCCTTCGGCCCTACAGCAACCCTGTTGGAGTCGGTTCTGCTGGTCCCAGTTCATGCAGTCAGCACGTGGCAAAGCCAGGGCTCATGTCCCCACCCGTGCTGATCACGGTCACGGGGCCTGGCCACAGCTGAGGAGTCTGGAGCGGCTGCTCTGCTGGCACTGGGGACATTAGCTCATTGACTGTTGCCCAAGGACCATCAGAGGAGGGTTCTGACATCCTGCGGCTTCACAGATGAGCAAACTGAGGCAGAGAAGGGTCACTCAGCACACACAGGGACACAACCTGGTGGCCACGGGAGGCAGCGCGACCCTGCTCCTCCTCCACTGCTCCTTTCCTAATTTGGATTCTTTAAAAATTACCAAAGGAACACATGTGCACTGAAATATTCCAAACAGAAGCAGTATATGGAATGAAAAATGACATCTCCCCTGTGCCTCACTTCAGTTCACATCAGCTGTGGGAACAGAGGAAAGTGTGGCTAAGTACATTCTTTCCTGGGGAAATAGGCTCAGGCTTTTCTTGGAGACAGTCTCACTCTGTTGCCCTCAGTAGAGTGATGTGGCTCTCATAGCTTACAGCAATCTCAATCTCCTAGGTTCAAGAGGCCTTCTTGCCTCAGCCTCCCAAGTAGCTGGGACTAAGGGCATCTGCCACTACTCCTAGCTAAGTTTTCTATTTTTAGTAGACATAGGGTCTCACTCTTGCTCAGACTGGTCTTGAATTCCTGAAGCAATCTACCTATCTCAGCCTCCCAGAATGCTGGGATTACAGGCATGAGCCACTGCATCGGCCTCCCACCTAATATTTTTAATTCTTTTGTAGACATGGGGCTGTCTGGAACCCCTGGCACCAAGAGATTCTCCCACCTTGGGCTCCCAAAGTGCTGGGATTACAGGCGTGCGCCACCGTGCCCGGCCTTGAACTGTTTATTTAAATAAATGTAACACTATCTTTTTAATGATTAATTCTGCTGTTAAGCAAGCCTGGGGAAGGCAAACTCTTTCACACCAGTTGAAAGATCCTTGAAAAGCCAACACAAGTTTGGTTTTTCTGCACCGCTGTTATTTACTCAGCTAACTGTATCAGCAAGTCAAATCTGTGCTGAGGTGTAAGGTGTTAAAGCTGACAGTACTAATGTCACTAACAACACCAAACTCCAGAATACAATTTGTAAGATAGAGGAAAAGCATAAAAAGCTTATAAAAAAACTAAACCCTTACCTTTAAGTGTTGTTTCCCACACTCTGCACCTGTGTGTACTGTATAAGGAAGGGTCCTGAGGGACTTAATGTCTATTTTATAGGGACCTTAGTGAATAAATTGCATGTTACCGTTGTGCTAAAGCATCTCCACGGACTGTATCTGTCTGTGATAAGCTGCATTTCCATTGAGCTGATGAGAAGTATTACTAGGGTAGCTCACTGGCACTTGAAACACATCCTCCCGCCAGGGCACCGCAGTGATGCATCCTCTGTGATGGGTGAAGCCCCACCCGCAGGGATTCTAGTCAGTGTCTTCAATGTCACTATCATGGACGTGTGGACAAAACCAGTCCCTGGGAACTAAGGACAGAGTCCTGGCTCCCAAGAACTTGCAGTGCAGCCAGCAAGTGACTGTCCTCAAAGCCTGATAGAGGAGCTGAGAGGAGCTCACGGCGGCCGTCACCCCCAGCACTTACTCTCTCCCATCACGTTTATTTCCTCTGCATGTAATAGTCCACAAGTGATGGCTCGGCACCTGTGGCTCAAGCAGCTAAGGCGCCAGCCACATACACCTAAGGTGGCGGGTTCAAATCCCCAGCCTGGGCCAGCCAAACAACAATGATGGCTGCAACCAAAAAATGGCCAGGCGTTGTGGCGGGTGCCTGTGGTCCCAGCTACTTGGGAGGCTGAGGCAGGAGACTCGCTTGAGCCCAGGAGTTGGAGGTTGCTGTGAGCTGTGATGCCACGGCACTCTACCCAGGGGGATAGCTTGAGGCTCTGTCTCAAAAAAAAAAAAAAAAAAAAAAAAGAGACGAGAGGGGAAAAGGAGGGAGGGGGGGGGGGGGGGGGGGGGGGAGTAGCATTAAGAATGGGGCCCTCTGAAACCGTGAACCTGGAAACATTAAAGGGTCTTGGGGGCCACATAAAAATCATAAATCAATCACATCCGATTTTCAGGAATAATTTTCTCGGGTGTGATAAATTTGAGTTTCCTACTGAGAGCCATCCATCAGAAGCTGGGCAGAAGTTGAGAACTTGGGGACAAAAGTTGGAAACTGACCCGGTGCAGTGGCTGAGGCCTGCAATTTCAGCACTGAGAGGCCCAGGCAGGAGGATTTCTTGAGCTCAGAGTTCAAGACCAAGAGCAAGAGAAAGAGAAAGAGCCCCCTCTCTACTAAAAATAGATAAAACTAGCCAAGTGTGGTGGTGATGCCTGCAGTCCCAGCTACTCAGGAGACTGGGGCAGGAGGATCATTTAAGCCCAAAGTTTGAGGTTGCTGTGAGCTATGACACCACAGCACTCTACCTAGGGTGACAAAGTAAGATACTGTCTCAACAAAAAACCAAACAAATCATCAGTTTCAGGGAATATTACTTTTAAAGCCTAAATATAAGCTATGTGAATGAAGATATTAGTCATGGAACTTTAATAACAGGGAAAAAAATGGAAGCAAGTTGAAAAATGGTCAAGAAATTAAGGTCTGTCCACCTAAGTGGTACAGTTTCACATGATAGTCAAAAGCTGAGCAGACTATAAAAAGATGATTACGATGCTAATTCTTTTAAGAAAAGGAAATAGTATTATGCCCTATTATTTACAAATCAAGGTATACCTATAAAAAAAGACTAGAAAGGAATATATAAATCTGATGAAAGTGGGGTTCTGGGTAATTGTCTACACCTCAAATTACATAAACGTGTAATAATACTATTATATTATCAGTAAGTCTTTTTTTAGACAATGTTTTAAAAAGGAAGGGGACAAAGATAAACTTGAAATTGAGGGCCTTCTCCCTAAGGGAGTCCAGAACAAGTGGAAATGTGTTGCAAAGGGAGGTGCTCTTGAGAGACCGCGGGTTACAGGCAGAGTTTAGTCCCAGACGCAAATGTTTGTAGAGTTGATTGCTTCTGAACCACCAACAGAAAGAACTTAGCCCGTCTTCAGGTGGTAGAAAACTCTGGATGTCCAGCATGTTCTAGGACTGCTAAGCTGTTACCACGTTCAGACCATGCACCGACCATCACCAAAGAGTGGGAATGAAGCCCTCGTTTTGATGACCCCTCATACAGTTCCCTGGAGATGCAGGGACTTGCTGGCTAATCACAGTTCAGGTTGACAAAATGTCGGACTGACTTGCCTGGAAAGATGCTGCTGGGTTGGGTGTTCTGCTTTGCTTCCATAGGAGTTCAGTGTTAGGTTTTACTTTCCATGTCTAGACCTCTGCTGCTTTAAATCACCTTTCTTGTTTGAACCTCATTTGCCACTGCTAATTCTCGAGTATTTGTGGCCCAGTAGAGACAAAGCTTTTTTTTTTAGACAGAGTTTCATTCTGTTGCCCTGGGTAGAGTGCTATGGTGTCTTAGCTCACAGCAACCTCAAACTCTTGGGCTCAAGCAATCCTCTTGCCTCAGCCTCCCAAGTAGCTGGGGCTACAAGCTCCCGCCACAATGCCTGGCTAGTTTCTTTATTTTTAGTAGAGCTGGGGTATCATGTTGCTCAAGGTGGCTCAGAATGCCTGAGCTTAGGTCATCCACCTACCTCAGCCTCCCAGAGTGCTAGGATTACAGGCGTGAGCCCCTGCACCCAGCCGAGACAAAGTGTATTTTATGGAGGTCTTGCAGAATCCAGCTGGCTTGTGACCAAGGGGCACCTGCAAACCTGCAAACCTCTGTGAGCTTAACTACTCTCCACATGAGATGTGAGATGTTACGGGCATTGTATTTTGCTTGTGATTTGAATTTCCCAAGGTACTTAAAGTTATGTCTTTTTTCCTTTTTAAAATTTCAAGAAACCGTAAGTAAACTACAAGTGTTTAGAAAAACACTTAAGTCGGTGCTAACATTCTGATTTTCAGGTAGCTATAACTGTCATTTTGAGTTGTGACAGTTTTGATTCAATCACATTTACTTATGCCCCTTTTATTAATTCAGTTACTTCTAATTAGCTAAAGCTGAAGGGCCAAAGAGATGGAGAGAAAACCAGTTTAAAATCAAGAGGCCTAAATTCTAGTTCTCAATCTGCCACTGATTTAGTCTCTCTTTACACGGCCAGTGTGATCCTGCGTCATCCTCTGTAGAATGAGTCTGCTGGATGAGATGTTTCCCAGGGTCTTCTCCAGCTCAGCATGTCAGGACTCAGAAACCCTGAGACAAGGAGTCGTTCTCGCCTTTTCACTGTGAACACAGGTTCACAGTGAGCTGCTTGGGGCACGTCCAGACAAGGACACTGGCTCGTTTACAAGGTCCACTCAAACAGCAGATCTAGGTAGAAAAGTGCATTAGAACCGGATACCGGATAGAATAGTCCTAAAATGGGGCGGCACCTGTGGCTCAAGGAGTAGGGCGCTGGCCCCGTATGCCAGAGGTGGCAAGTTCAAACCCGGTCCCGGCCAACAACTGCAAAAAAAAAAAAGAGTCCTAAAACAATAAAACCTAAAATTACTTTGAAAGCTTCACCAAATTTAGGGGAAAGAGTTGGTGACTTCCCGTGTAGCTTGGGTCTAAGACTAACACCTCTACGGTTGGTTGAATAGACCAAGTAGACTTGGTGTTTCGCCTGCAATTCCTGGACCTCCATTTTTACTTCAAAACGCTTGTGCTCCTGCAGGTGGGCTCGGTGGTAGCCGTGGGCTGGATCCGCTCTAGGAAGGCTGTAGACTGGCGTCTCTTCCGGAACATCTTTGTGGCCTGGTTTGTGACTGTGCCCGTGGCCGGGCTATTCAGCGCTGCCATCATGGCACTCCTCATGTATGGGATCCTGCCGTATGTGTGACGTGTCTCCTCCCAGTCGGAGCAGCTAAAGGGATGGTCTGGGGTGGTTGTGCGGGAGCAGTGTGCCCTCCTGGCGCACACATGTCCTGACTGCATGTGGCTGTCTCGTGACCAGCTCTCCACGTCCCTCTCTGGGGCACCACGCCACGCTGCTCACCCAGGCTGCGGATCGTCTCCTCACAGAGCCGACTTACCTGCTGTACATAATCTGCGTTACACGGTATCGTGGTGACATACTGTGTGCAGTTACTTACATATTAAATACGTATTGTCCACATAGAATAGGTCCCGTTACTTCAGACATATTCAAGCTGGGAGTGGAGATCATTGCCTAGAATTCAATATCCCGTAAATCTTGTACATAACAATTTCAGTGGCAAATTTTAAGAGCCTTTTAAAAGGAATGTTTTGATTGGAAAATGATTCTTTTCCAAATGATGTTTCCTGTCTGACATACTGTAAACGAAGTAGAAACAGAGGCTCGACGCCAGCCTGGGGGTGCACGCAGGTGGGCGTGATGCCAGGACGAGGTCACAAGTGCTTTCACTGAAGAATTTGTTCATATACTGTGTATGATTATCCTGTAATATATCATTATGGCTTTTGTAAATACTTAAAACTGTAATTTTTTTAATGGTGTGCTTCCCTTATACTTTTCTGATCAGAGAATTTTGGAAAGTACCAAAGAAGCAGGGGAATAGTTTGCCAGTATTATGTTTTCCCGTTGTCTGTCTCCCCGCACCCCGGGTCACTGCGGAGCAGGACTGCCAAGGGCCTGCCTGCCCCAGAGCAGCACATGTGGCCCTCACCCACCAGCAGCACCGCTGCCGCCACACGCCACCCCCTGGGCAGCCCTGCAGTGGCCTTTCCCTTGTCACCAACGCAGAGATGTGCAGACGTGAGGCTGTGTGGCTGACACTACATATCCATCCAGTTTAAATTTTCATCCCTGTTCTCCCCGGCAGCCCCAAGAACAGACTTCTCAAGTCACACGTTAACACAGATGAGGCCTTTTATGTGCTTTGACATTGTAGAAATTCAGGGCAGGGGGGAAAGAGTTGAAATATTTGAAAATACACTGGATTTAAGGCGTTCCCTGAGGCCTCCGCTGTGCTGCATGTCCCCATGTTCTACTGTAGTCCCCTGGGTTCTCTTTTGATAGCGGGAGGAAGTACGACTAATGTTAGAGCCTGAAACTATGGAAATGCTGCTAAAATTTTTATATTGACAAACATTTTCTTGGTACTTCATCATGATTTTTCATTAATCAACCATATTAAATTTATAATAAAAATGCCCCTCAAATGTTTGCCTCAGAAGTCTTTTTCTAAATATCTACATAATGTTTTCAGAGTTGCCACAATAATAAAAGCTACATCATTTGGTCACTTGGCATTTTTCAAATACCTTTCTTTGAACCCCCCCCCTATTTTACTATTACATGTTTGTACAAAAAACATACGAGCAGGAAGAGGAACAAGTGACCCCCACGTCCAGCATTCAGAACCCCCCCCTCCCCCATCAGCCCTGTGTGCACTGACCCTTCAGGAATGAAGCGTCTGGCCAGGGGGCTCGTCCCTGGATCGGGACTCCTGTGACTAGGGCTGTCACACCCCTGTGTGAAGCCTTCCCTACTTCACCCAGACTTTGGAGGACAGTTGGCAAGTCAGTTTAGACGCTCAGGGCCTAGGCAGGGAAGTGCAGACCCTCTCCAGCTGTATTTTTGGCTCAAACAGTCAAAAGGAAAAAAGAATTGGGGATTGGGAGAGGTGTTCCGTCCCGGTGGCAGCACCTGGCACCAGCTCCATTTCCCTTAGGACTGGGACCGGTACCTGGTGAGGAAATGTGCCCAGGTATAAGAAATTCTTCTCCACAAAGAAATAATGCCCTAAGCCTTTCATTTACTCCACTTTTGATAAAAATTCAAGAAAAAATTCATATTCCTCTTAAATTTATTTATAAGAAAAATAATAGCACAACACAATGCAGGCAAACAGTGTCCAGCCCAGCCTGCGGGTTCAGGAGGATTCTGCAGCTTTCACCCCTGTCCCAGGGAAGGGCGCAGGCGGAGTCCCGGAAAGCGAACCAGGCACGAAGGTCACACCAGTGAGCGTTCTTAGGACTAAGCAGCTGCCCTTTTGAGAGCCACTCACCATCCACGCCTCTCCAGCCTCTCATCTGACAGAGATGGCCACAGGCCAGCAGTGCCCTGGAGGGAGGGTCCCCTCCCACTCGGCCTTCTCCCCCTGAAGTGATGCTCCTGGAGTCCACTGGGCAGCAGAGGCTCTGTGGGTGGTGATGGGGGACAGTGGGGCTGGGCACAGCCTACTCCCAGGCAAGGGGACAATGGTGGAGGGCTCCTCTGTCCCAGGCCACAAACCAGCCCACATTCCTACCCTGAGGATCTCAGTTCCTCAGCGCTGCTCTATCATACAAACAGGCCCCAGCAAAGGCAAGCCCCACCCGCCTGGCTTCCCACTGTTACTCTGTTCATCTGTCACTTCACTCCAAATAGGAGAATGGTTCTTAAAGAAAGCTTCTTAGCCTGAGTAACAGTGGGCCCACCTCTCCTCTAGAACTAGAAAAATAGCTGGGCATTGTGGTGGGTCACCATTACTCGGGAGGCTGAGACAAGAGAATCACTGAGCCCAGGAATTTGAGGTTGCTGTGAACTGTGATGCTGCAGCACTCTACCTTGAGTGACAAGTAAGACTCTGTCTCAAAAAAAAAAAAAAAAAAAAAAGGCTCCTGAGTGGCAGGACTGGACTCAGAGTTTAGAGTTCAACTCCTGCCTGAGTGGCCTTGGGAAACTTCCTGACCCCAGTGAGACCATCTCCCAGGAGAGTGAGGAGTTGAGGGAGCAGGGGGAGAAAAGGGGGCCACTATAGTGCCTGGCCTGGGACTCAGGCTCCTGAGCAAGTGTTTGTCCTGTCTGGTGGGTGAAACGTTCAGTCACTACCCTGCTCTTGTACAGTGTGTGCCCTCAGGACTGTGGTGAGGACAGCAACAAACCGGATCATGAAAAAGTATTATCAAAAAACCTGCCAGCTGAACAAGACAAGAGGACGAGAAAGAAACTAGAGACAGGGCTGTCTGATTTCTGGGGGGATCTAGGGGAACCCACGAGCTGTGGGGAGAACTGGGGAGACCTGTGGGCTAGAGGGGGAACTGGCGGGACGGTGGGCTGTGGGCAGCCTGGGTGTTAACTGCATAGCTCTGCTCTTACCTATACTTGGGCGGTCGCCATCCTTTATTACTGACAAGGTAAGAAAATAACCCTGAAGCATATTACGAAGAAAGAAAAACAGCACCCACGTGTCTTCATCCCACCACCATCTTTCTGGACCATTTTCATTTCCCTAATTTGACTGGATCTTTGGAATACTGGGAGCTGTCTGTCACTAAGGCACAGGAGGACAGCGTAGGTGGCCACAGCTTCCTGACCTAATTTCCCTAATCTGCCCACTGTCAGCAGCTGCAGTCTCCAGAAAAAGGGGAGGCCCTGCGGAGCAGGTGATAGCTGATAAACCAAGTAGGGAGGAAGCCCAGGGAGAAAGCGTGGGGGGCTCCACCTGCCTCTTTCTATAGAGGAAACATGAGGAGCTGAACAAGACTTTAAGAGTATCAGACTCAATGAGAAAGACCTACCGTTCTCCGTGCAGCTAGAACTAAACCTACTTCAGCAGCACAAGGGGTTGAGGTCAAACGGGGAATTTCCTTGCTTTTCTCAAGATTTTCCATTTAAAGATGAAATCAAACCCTGAATTTACAGATTCCAAACCTTGAGTGGGTAAGGAAGTGGGCAAGGTCAAAGGCTAGAATTGAATGACCTTGCAGAAAACTGCAGACAACAGTGGCCCCTAGTGGCTGTGGCGTCCAAAGACAGCAGCACCAATGCAAACCCCCAGGAAGACACATCAGTAGACCCCACTGACCCCACAACCTCAGGAGTCAGACCATTCCCTGGTGGACAACCCAGACCTCGGGGCGAGATCCTGAAAAGCACACAGAGAAAGCTGTGCTCCCTCTCACTGTTCCCTTCCGTGGGACAGGGATACGTTTAGCCCCCATACCTGCTTCTCCACCCCACTTAATCCACCAGGAGGAAGGAGGGTCCTCACCCTGCATGTTCAGGAAGGACTGGGCACGCTAGAGTCAGGACCTCCCACCTTCCTACTGGGAGGGAGACTGGGTAGAAGGGAGCCCCGCCCTGGCCCAGCACTGCCCTCACCCTAAGCCCCAGCACACCCAGCCTGTATCAGTGGGGAGGATGATGTTTTGGCCTCTATCCACTGACACCTTGTCCTAACTTACAATTTGTTTAAAAGCTGGGGAGGCAGGATGGTGTATTATCAGGCCTTATCCTGGAAGGCCCCTGAGGCATAGCAGGGTCTGTGAGGAGGGGCAGATGAAATGCAGAAAGCTCCTCACATGGACACAATACAGACACTGATAATCGGGGTGGAGAACAGAGAGGCTGGGAAGGAACCTTAGTGCTGACGTTTAATGGAAGCCCAGAGAAAAAGAAGGTTTGTTTCTCAAGGCCAAGGAGCAGAAGAGGCCAAGTCAAAGAGCTGCATGCGAGCACACCAGAGGCCACAGCCTTCACATGCAGGACGCAGCAGTCTCCACACACATTTAAGGATTACACCACAGGCGGCACAGAAGTGGCTTCCTTTCTTTTCTAGATCTGTTCCTATACAAGATTCTAGAACCTGAGGCTCAGAAAGGTGGCCACAAGCCTCCAAGGACAGAGAATTCAGAAGTTTTAGGACATTTATTGTCCTCCCTGTGTCTCGAGCAGAGAGAACATCACAGTATGACGATGGGTTAGCAATGGACCATGATTCTCCCCAGTCACTTGCAGAAGTAATTAATATGTAAAATGTGATGTGCTAGCTCATGCCTATCGGTCTATTTTCACAGCAAATGACACTACTTTGACCGCTGGGCAATTCCCCTAAAGAGGAACAAGTGGCATTTGTTGCCTTGACCAATGTGATGCTTTCCGAGGCAGACGGAGCCAGAACTTAGCACGTGTTAAGTGTGCTGCCTGCAAGGGGGCCCCTGACCTTCCCAAGCAGTAATATTCATTAGAGGGTTTTCTCCCAATTACAGAAATATGGAACTTGCTGCAGAAAACTGGAAAAATATAATAAGCATGAAATAAAAATTAACTTGCAAGTCTACCTTCCTGTGATAATAAAAATATTAACATTTTTGGAAAATTTTCTCCGATATTTGCATATAATTTTTTTTAAAAATTGCGAGTAGTTTACTCTTATTTTTTAATGCAATATTATCTGTGAACATTTCTTTATGGTTACTTTGAAAACATGATTTTAAGCCAGATGTGGTGGCTCTCAATTATAATCCTAGAAATTTGGGAGACTGAAGTGGGTGGATTCCTTGAGATCAGGAGTTCAAGACCAGCCTAAGCAAGACTGAGACTCCATCTCTACTAAAAAGAGAAAAACTAGATGGGCATTGTGGTGGACACCTAGAGTCCCAGCTACTCGGGCATCTGAGGCAAGAGGATCGCTTGAGTCCTAGTTTCAGGTTGCTGTGAGCTATGACCCAACAGAACATTACCCAGGGCCACAGAGTGACACTCTGTCTCAAAGAAACAACCAGTGCTAGCTTCAGGAATACTAAATTGGAACGACACAGAGAAGACCAGCATGGCCCCTGCGCAAGCATGACATGCAAATTCGTGTAGCAATCCATATTCTTATAGGAGACTTGTTTTTAAAAAAACCACGATTTTAGCCAGGCCTGGTGGCACACACTCCCAGCAACTTGGGAGGCTGAGATGGGAGGATCATTCAGGCCTGGGAGTTCAAGACCAGCCTGGGCAACTCAGACCTATCACTTAAAAAGCAATTTTTTTTAAACTATGATTTTTAAGAACTCAGTAATATTCCTTGTATTGAACATACCATAATTTATTGAATCACTGCCTTGTGGTTTTGCACTTGGACGGCCATCAGCTTTTCATTGTTATGAGAACTGCAGTCAGAAGCCCTGCACATGTCTCTGACCCCTCTGATGACTCCTGGGCACAGCACAGATCACTCCGTATACAGCGCCTGGCACAACACAGGTCACTCCATATACAGCACCCGGCACAACACAGGTGACTCCATATACAGCGCCCGGCACAGCACAGGTCACTCCATACACAGGGCCCAGCACAACACAGGTCACTCCATATACAGTGCCCAGCACAGTACAGGTCACTCCATATACAGTGCCCAGCACGGTACAGGTCACTCTGTATACAGCACCTGGCACAGGACAGGTCACTCCATATACAGCGCCACAATGCAGCACCCTGCACAGTGGTTCATGCACTTTCCTTTCTACACAACTCAAGGACTCTCTCAAGGATGAGGTGCTCAGACACAGCACAGCCAGCCACATGATTCAATCAAGCTGACCTTAGACTACCTACATCCATATTTGGAGTATTGCACTAACACACAGTATCTGGCTCTTCAGCTCCACAAAATAAAATAAATAATTTAAAAAGGACAGCACAAGAGGGAGAAATACAAACCTATGGTGACACCCTTCGCATCCAATTCAGGCCATAGATACCTAGCCTACCAGGCATGAGAAACAAGCAGGGTGCACCTCTGAAGAGACGTGTCCCACAGAACAGTCCTGAGGCACAGGGTGCTCACACCACCCACACAGTGTGGACACCTGCGCCTGGCACTGACCAGGCCATCCAACACCCCATTCACAATGCACAGTAAGATACAAGGTCAGTTAGACTCAGGTGTTAACAAGACAAGAGTTATGGTTTATCCCTACTCATCCCTTTTTCCTTTTCTGTTTTACTTAATCTCTCGTGATGGTAATTGATCCCACAGAAATATCAGAGAAAATTAAATTATAATGATGTTTTATTTTCCGACATAAGTGATGTATAGTTATTACCTATAATTTGGGTAAAGGATATTATTAAGATTATCTTTGGTGGTGATAGAGGAAATATCTTGCACTGAAATTTTTCAAGAAGCAAATATATCTTGCTTTTTTGGGTTTTTTTTCTGAAACAGTCTCAAGTTATCGCCCTGGATAGAGTGCCATGGCGTCATAGCTCATAGCAATCTCCAACTCAGGCTCAAGCCATCCTCTTGCCTCAGTTTTGCCATTTTTATTTATATATTTTTTGAGACAAAGTCTTACTACGTCCTCCTTGGTAGAGTGCCATAGCGTCACAGCTCACAGCAACCTCAAACTCTTAGGTTTAGGCAATTCTCTTGCTTCAGCCTCCCAAGTAGCTGTGACTACAGGTGCCTGCCACAATGCCCAGCTATTTTGTTGTTGTTGCAGTTGTCATTATTGTTTAGCAGGCCAGGCCCAGGTTCAAACCTGCCTGCCATGGTCTATGTGGCCAGTGCCCTTACTATTGAGCTATGGGCGCTGAGCCAGTTTTTTTATTTTTAGTAGAGACAGAGCCTCGCTTTTGCTCAGGGTGGTCTCGAACTCATGAGCTCAAGCAACCCACCTGCCTTGGCCTTCCAGAGTGCTAGGATTACAGGCATGAGCCACCACATCAGGCCTATCTATTGTTTTTAAGACAACCCATCTGGAAACTGAGCAAGCAACCCGTTCATACTTTCACTTTTCACTCTTCATTTCAGTATTGAAATATAGTGTGATTTTTTAAATATAATTTTAATTCACAGAGACAGGGCCCACTCTGTTGCCCGGGCTGGAGAGCAGTGATGCTATCGTAACCTCCAACTCCAGGGCTCAAGCAATCTTCCTGCCCTGGTCCCCCAAAGTGCTGGAATTATAGCATGAGCCATTGCACCCAGCCTAAGCAAGCAATCTGAACAGGCAAATCCGAATTATACATATTAACATTAAAAATAACTCCATTTCACTAGCAGTTAGGAAGATGCAAAATAAAACCAGATAACCATTTTCACCTATAAAACTGGTAACGAGGGAAGCACCTATGGCTACATGCACCGGTCTCATGTACTGAGGGTGGTGGGTTCGAACCCAGCCCCAGCCAAACCACAAACAAACAAACAAACAACAACAACAACAACAACAACAAAACAGGAACAATTTGAGGCCAGGTGCAGTAGCTCACACCTATGATCCTAGCACCCTGGGAGGTGGAGGTGAGTGGATTGCCTGAGCCAGAGCAAGACCCCATCTCTAAAAATAGCCGGGTGTTGTGGTGGGCGCCTGTAGTCTCAGCTACTCAGGAAGCTGAGACAAGGGGATCACTTGAGCCGAAGAAAGGCTGCTGTGAGCTATGATGCCACAGCAGTCTACCACGGGCGACAAAACGAGACTCTCTCAAAACAAAAACCGTAACAATTTGAAAGTTGGGAACAGGATCACTGAGGATTTGGGGACATAGGCACTCACAGTTAGTAGAAATAAAAATTAGCTCACAATTTTGAAGGCCAAGGGTGTACTCCTTATCAACTGCATGTGCCACTTGACTTGGCAATCTCACTTCTAGAAACCTATCCTATGGAACTACATGAACACTAGCCAACAGCCATTAATCACCTGAGGCTATTTAAAGTAATTAAAATTAAAAATTCAGTTCTGGGCAGCACCCGTGGCTCGAGGAGTAGGGTACCAGCCCCATATACCAGAGGTGGTAGGTTCAAACCTGGCCCTGGTCAAAAATTGCAAAGATAAAACTCAGTTCTTCAATTGCCCTAGTTGCATTTCAAGAGTTCAATAGTCATATTTGACTAGTGTCTACCATATAGGACAGTGTAGACATAGGTCCTTATCTCATAGAGTTCTACTAGGCAGTGCTGCTATGGAAACAGTCACAGAGATGGACTTCAATACAGCATTGCTTATAAATTTAAAAAAACTGAATATGACCAAAAAAGGTAATAGTTAAATGAGTTATCACATTTATAGTAAAGTGTACAAATAAAAATATGAAGCAGACATGAACAGAACAACTCCGATAAGTTTAAAAGTACATTGCAAAACAAGAGAAGCATTTTAACATTTTAATGCTATATAATTAGTGTAATTTCTAAAGACACTGAAAAATAATCTCAAGGGTATGTGAAAATGTCACTGGTAGTTGAAGGAGCCGTGATGGGAAAGACTAAGGATTTTCACTTATTGTTTTTATTGAGATAGGGTCTCACTCTCACCCAGGCTAGAGGTGGAGTGGAGTGCTCATAGCTCACTGCCACTTCAAACTCCTGGACTCAAGCAATCTTCCTGCCTCAGCCTCTCAAAGTGCTGGGATTATAGATGTGAGCCATCCCAGCCGGCCAGAATTTTCACCTCTAAGATGATGGACTGAATTTGTTACAAACAGCATATATTATTGCTATGTTAATACAAAAGAAATTTTCAAAATGAGTTCTACTTTTAGAAAGAAAAATGACTTAGCCCCTAGGACATTACTGTCTACTCATTTCATTTCTAAATTGTTAGTTTTTCTTTGGTTATAATTTTTCTACACCTAGTGATCATAAATATGTTTCTACCACCTGGAGGAGCCTCAGATGCATCATCCCCCAGCTCCAGCCCCTCCCGCCATGTCTCTTCCCCACCAAACCCCCCAACCGCACTCTCTCCTTGCCCCTCCTTTCACCCACTCACCCCCACCCCTTCTCTCAGCAGCTTCACCAGCTGCAGGATGATACTCCCCTCTCACAACTGCAGGAGGTGTGACAGACGTGCTGCTCCCCAGCTGAGCCCAACTCACCATCTCCTCCTGCAGCCCAACCCATGGAGAGCAATGAGTAAGGTCAACAAGGCTGAAGGAACAGGCAACAGCACGGACACCGCAGACACCTGCAACAGTGTTCTTCAGAACAAATCACATCAAACAAGAAAACCACTGCTGGCAAGGAAGGTGAGCAGTTATGTTCCAAATGTGATGGGTTTATTTTATTTTACTCTGATGCAAAACCAAAGATTCCACTACAGCACAGAGACTGATATATTCAAAGGTCATGGAAGTGGCGTGGGACATGCAGAGCGTGATGTACAAACTGGAGGGTTGGGTCATTTTCTTTAACGTGACACTACACTGTCGCTGAAGAACACATTTAAATTAACACTGCAGAACTGAACTGAAATGTGGCACAAACAGGACAACTGCCAGGCATGCCTTCAAGCACCTCCCCTGGGATGGACCTGCAATCTCTAGACTTCAGTGTGGGGAGGATTACAATTCTTTGGAAGAATAAAAAGTTCATTCACACTTTTGAAATTTCACAGAAGAATTTTAAGGCCAAAACATAGTGGGTTCATTTCTCTTCACTTCCAAGGACAAATCTGATGTTCTTTCTACTCAAACCACATTAAGCTTCCAGTTCAAATCCCAACCCAACCTTGTGACCTCCTGCATTGAAGTTCTTTCCGTCAATTAAAGCTGATAAGGTCAGTTTGACTCCTAGGAAGAAGAAAACATCAAAATTGCTTGTAACAGATATTACCATCAGAACTGAATTTTCTAGAAGCAATAGATGGCATCTATGGATTATAAGCATACACTGTTACTAGGCTGGCCTAGGGCTATATATAATCATCTGATCCATAATGAGTAAAGCCTGATCATGGCAAACTTTCTTTGGAGTTCAGGTTAAGAGCAAGGAGCCATCAACCAAACTCAAAGGTCCGCGTGACCAAATTTTAAGTAAAATACCTGATCTGTTTTACTTTCTTTATGATCACTAAATGTTACAAAATGGTCTTAACCAACCTACAGTGATTATATAGGTTGTTATGTAAGTTATTTTCATTACTTCTCTATCACTTTCTACCTCAACTCCTTTAATTAATTCTTTTACTTACCTGGTCGAAGGGTCTGAGTATAACCCAGTCCAATCAAGCTGGCATTATTTACTTTAGCCTAAGATTAAGAGACGGAATAAGTTAGAAAAGAATCACCTTCATAAGGCTCAGTTCAATACAACCACCACTTCATGCCTGGAGTTTCCAAAGCTAAAAGCACCTTAGGGCCAACCTAGAATTACTGAACCTGAAAATCTAATAAACATAACGATAAATCTTGTAAGAAGTGAACAGGCCTGGTAGGGATGGTGGGAACAGGAGAATGCATGCTTCAAGGCCTCGAGCAAACTTTAAGACACTGTGCAGCCCAACACCCGTGTACTGACCCCTTTGTGGTGTGAGCGGACAACCCGACAGTGGTTGCACGAACTCTGGTGACAAAAAACAGGTCTAGATTCGAATCTTGGCATTGTCACTTACTGTGGGACCTTGGGCAAGTTATCCAACCTTTCTAAGGCTCAGTTTTCTCACCTATTCAATGGGCATGAGGGTAACGCTAATCACCACATGGAGTATTCTGAGGATGAAATGAGATAATTTACCTGAAGCCCTTAGCACAGTGCCTGGAACTTAGCTCAGTTAGTGTTGTCATTAATAAATGACGAATGGCAACAGGACTACTCATCTAATTCCATGAATTTACAGATAAGAAAATTCTGAGGCCGGCTCGGCGCCTATAGCTCAACC